AAATAATTCACTGATATGGACAATATTATAATTACTGTCATCATTGTTATCTCCAGGTTATCATGGCAACAAACAGAGCTGATACATTAGATCCCGCATTATTACGTCCAGGACGTTTGGATCGTAAAATTGAATTTCCTATGCCAGATCGCCGACAGAAAAGATTAATATTCAGTACCATATGTAACAGAATGAATTTGTCCGATGAAGTTGATTTAGAAGATTATGTAGCAAGGCCTGATAAAATATCTGGAGCAGATATCAATGCTATTTGCCAAGAGGTACTCGCATATTTACTTATTATTGTGTGCATTCCATTCAATTCATAGTCATTTAAAATGACACAGTCCTTGTTGGTACTTTTTGATTTTGCAGTTACTGCATAGGCATTAATGATTCAGTGGGTTTTAATTTTGCTAATAAGTAAAATTCACTACATTAAATCAATGTGAACATGTAAAATAACAATAGAACTCATTGTTTCTCTGCCAAATTCCTGAAATTAAAAAAAAGGCTCAAATATCAAAATAGTGAAATTAAATGCCAGTGAAAATAAATGATTTTACAGTCCCCCCTCCCGTACCTTGATTGGACTAATGATAATTTAGTGGAGCACAATTGTCATCATTAACATATTTTCATCCGTATTTTCAGCTCTGTTTCTAATAAATAGGGCTTTTCTGGCCTGTTAAGGTAGAGATGCAGGTTGGGAGACTATATTTCTAATTGACTCTGATTACTGTAATTACATGAGTAAAATATACTTTTTACCAATCAAGTTATATATCATTTGAAAGAGTTTTGTTTAAACTTTTGAGTTTTATGGTTTACAATAATGTACTATGATACCATATTAAGTGGTGTTGATTTTGGGTTAAAATCATGCATTTTAGGTGAAAGTGCACTTAAAACTATTTAACTTTTGAATGCATACCCTTGATTTTAATTTAAGAACACTTGTTTGAAACTTCTGTTTACTAGGAACATAATTATTTATTAGTGCTTCCATTGAAAAGTTTTTACACAGTGCTCTTTGAAACATTCACATTTTATAAATCGTTCACAGTTAACAGAGCCGCTAATTGGCAGCTCTATTGTTTCTGTTCCAGTAAAGACAGTGAAACCATACAAAGCCATTTATTTAGGATAGACCTGAATAGTGACCCCTGAAAATTTCATTGAAAACAAATGAACCGTCTAGAAGTTAAATAGTTTTAAAGTTGAAATTTTGAGTAAAAAATGAAACTGAGATAATCGCCATTTTGTAAAAAAAAAGTTTTAAAACAAATCATTCGCTTCATATATATACACATAGCGATCGCCATTGGGTGGGTTGAGTCTAAATTTACCTTCCCTCAAACCTTTAAAAAATACTTTGTATGATGCAGTTTCCGTGGACCATGTGAAGTTAGACGACCAGGTTGAAATGGGCCCTAATATTTTACTACGCTATTCGCAAACGCCGGTGAAACAAATTCGAAATAAAGTCACATTGAAAAGGGAACTATTGTAAATCGATGCAGGTTTCATTCAACTACAGACGAGACAGGTCAATGCAAATTAAACGAACTCTGACCTCTGGAAATACCTCATTCATAGAGTTTCCTAGTACCAGAGGTCGCCGATCACGACCATACAACATAGTTTGCGACATCGCTACCGGTGCATGCTAGCTGACAAGGGGGTTTCCGATTAAGGTAACCAAGATGGCATCGCAGAGTGCATGATTTTTCCGCGGTGTTTAAAAACAGCATCTCATTGTCGATTTTTCGGTAATTTCCAGGGTATTTTATTTTTAATTAACCAAGCATTTTATGTTTGTATATTTTAACACTGAAAAGTAAGTGATGACAATTGCATCGCAGTTCTATCAGCACGATAATCATTACATCGAAACAAAAAATGTTTACTTCAGTGTTAAAATGCTATTGGAGTAAAAATTTGTAAAAACATTTTTTAATTTCGCCCACAATGCGAAAAAGCTTGAAATCTATGCACCAAGAAAACAAAAGAAATTGTGGCCTTGTTTTGCACAAAAATTAAATCACCCTATCGACGCTACCTCCTACATGAAAATAAATGAAAAACCAATTTATTTAAGGGTGAAAAAGTTTACTTATCAGTTACAAGTGTATGTTTTGTTTCATTCCGCTTGCATGCTAGAATCGTCTAAGTCTTGTCTGTTTTTTGTAGTTTGCTAGTTGATCGCGCTTGAGGTAAGTAAACAGAGAGCCAGGACAGGAAGTCGCACACCGGCTGTTCTGTAACTGAGACCAGCAATCATTTGCATATAACATCAACAGTGACTTGTCAATCAAAGAGCAACACAAACAAACTTTCGGGACTTTTAATCACATACGCTGCCTCGGTTCCCTATATTTTAAAATTGATTTTTGAGTATGTTCCAACAATGACAATGCTCCAAAATTGTAACACTATCTAGCCAAGACTGTCTGGGTGAGAAAAAGCAAAAAAAAAAAAAAAAAATCACGAAAAGTGCCCACAAACCTGCATCTCTACCTTAAATACAAGTCTTGTCTGTTTGTTTGTGGCAATATTTTACACACTAATGAGCTACTGTTATGTCGGTATGTGCTGAGAGTCTACCATTACTGTCAGTAAAGAGAGTACATTGGAAAATTGCTCAGTATTATTTTTAACTTGTTCATTATTCTAATCCTATTATTGTGAAATAACCATTCTCTTCTGTTTTTTTCTTTGCAGGCTGGTATGCAAGCTGTAAGGGAAAATCGTTATGTAATCTTGGCTAAAGACTTTGAAAAAGGATACAAAAACAACATTAAAAAAGATGAACAAGAACATGAATTTTACAAATAACTGTTTAAACACAAATCAGTCAGTTAATTGTATACAAATATTGACTTGCAAACATTTAAACAGAAAAATTCCATCACATGATTCAAGTGTATAAGTTGACGAGATGTATTAAATAGTGTTCTTGTTTTCATAAAATAAATATCCATATGTAGTTCATTATTTGTAAATCATGATTTTTGCTTCTGTATCTCAGACATTCCTGAACTGATCACATATTGTCACACTCAAATGCATTTTTATTTTGATCGAATTGAAAATGGCCCAATGACAGCCATTTTATACCTAAAAACAATCAATAGCCTAAGTTTTTGCTATGTTGTACGTTGGAAATACACTGGAACAGAAAGCAAAATACTGTATACTAAAGCTAACAGGAATTTTTATAGAAAAATACTGCAAGAGGGAGCACTTCAATTCAGCAGTGCCACCAAGTGGGGTTTTTCCTACCAGGGTGTGGAGTTTTTGATAATTCTAAGTTAAAATGGAGCATGGGGCCAAAATTAGTATCAGACAGATCACAGTTGAAGCCACATGTGATCTCTGGTCTATCAGAATTTTATGGTTGCCAGAGGATCTGCTCCTCAGGGTAAGGGTAAGGGGTGCATGGCCATGGCACGAGGGCGCTGCACCCCTGTTCCCTTATTTAAAAAAATCCCTGGCCTGTTAACATATCACTGCATGGACCCATTTATTTATATATGATTAAAAAAAAAGCTAACTGTACAAATGTAGCCAAGCACGTACTAGAGACGTACTAGTAATTCCAGATACAAATTGGACTCACAATGAGCTCTGTAGTACTTCCTATTATTCTGCAATCTGCACTTTGCATCGTTGTTTATTA